TTTATGATAATTGTATATTTTCATTGATTAATGATATTTATTACATAATTATAGCAGTTATAATGTTCTGCATATTGTCAGTTATAGTTATTTAGTTTAATTAGATACTTTTGCCTATTTAAGGTTATTAAATAATGATTTGATACTTTGTTTTATTAAATGCCATGAATAAGATGCTTATAAGGTGTTCATGTTTCATGATATCTGAAAATGCAAACTTATGGCTTTTAGCATGTACATGACCATTGCATAAGCATATAGCATATTACATGTATATATAAGCACACATGATTTTTCAAGTTAAAGCCTATATGGTCACTCCTGAACAAATGCCTTGCTAAGCCATGCACCCACAAGTGAGTGCATACGAAGTCCTTTAGGTATGACTACTTATAGGACAGCATATTAGTACATCCATGTATGTTTCTAGTACACATTTTCTAAAGGTTTATAGACGTTATGTTTAATGTGTCGATGTGAGTGCTACTTACGTGTCAATGTTCGTGTCATCTAACTTTAGGTTAGAAGGCTAAGCTGATAGATGTTATTGCAAATGCACTATGTCATATAATGTATAGAAATACAAAATTGTGTAGCGTTCATATATTGAAATGATGCAAATGTTCGCATGTAAGTGACATAATACATGCAAGGCATGTATAAAATGAACAAAACTGTGATATATGGTAATATTAAGGAGATGAATAAAATTCCATGTTATGTTATATCATGTTTACGTTTATATTCATACCATGTTATGCCCATGTTTAACTATCAAGAATTAATTTATGGAACATTATGATTATTATAGCGTTTAATTCAAAATTTAGTACTAGGCGCTACTTGATATGCATACCCTTACTGAACATTTCATGTACGATTAATAGTCTCCAGAAAGATGATGTCGATGTGGTCAAGGATGAGGCTGTTGAAAACAAATGGACTAAGTGTGCGCCCTACGCGCGACCCCTTCCCTCCCTCCCCAACCCTCCCCCCCAGAACCATTCATGGTGCAGTGACATTGCTTTATGCTCTAAAATTGAGAATATTATAGCGAGATAGAAGCACTTTACGTTGCAAATTGTGGTCGAATTTTATAGTTGTTGACTACTGTAATAAGTGATTACAAGTTTGCCTCTGCTTATTTTGTGAATGTTGTAAAAATGTTACTCTAGTTCTTGCACTTAGTACATGTATGTTGTGCCTGTGATGGGGTATCACGAGTCGTGACTATCTATATACACCTTATGTATCTAGTCGGGCGTTATCATGTAAGTTGGGTCTCCAAGGAATTTGGGTCATGTTCAAGTGTCTCAGGACATAACATCTCTAGCTATCCTTCAAGTTCAATCAACGACTGAGGTTTAGTTGGGCCACTAAAACCCTCCCCGAGTCCTGACTCTCATCTCTCACATCGTGGACACCAAATCGAGTTGTGGAAGAGGAAGACTTCTCCAGAAATCTTTCTAACGAAGCCTCCAGTGATTCACAAGGTTCCTCTAGTCATCAAGGATAGAAATACAGTTTGTTTGTGATATACTAGGATACCAGGAAATGGAATGAGTTGTCATGGTTCATCAACATGAAAGTAGATATCCAACAAGGAACTCCTCAGGGAGGCCAGCCTGGTAACCAATTTAACAAATCAAGGCTGTTTTAGAGGTGTCAAGCTGACTATACATTGACAAAGATGATGTATCCAAATTGGATTCCAACTTGCCAAGGTTTCACTTCTTGTCAGTATTACCCACAAATCATCGGCACAAAACTATCCAAACAACAAAAGCATGAAATTTCTCTAGAATCTTCAACTATAAACTTAGAAATCCTAAGTCCTGTTTTAGTTATTCCCCATGATAATTGTAAATATCAATCTGCACATTTTTTTTACATCAACAAGCTTTAATGTCCTAATTTGCACGATTCTGTAGAAAACATAATATTTAAATGTAACATAAACATTTTAAAAAAGCAGTTGCCTTGAAAATAATATATACATTAGAGAACCAGATTTTCAATTTCAAATACTGCAAGATGCATATGAAAATAATAGGAGTTCTTGAGAAAAATGGCACCAAGTAAATTAAAAGAAAAGTCTAGCACAAATAAACGGTACCTGCAAGCCAACGGTCTCTGACAACAAAACTAAATCATTGGATCCCTGAACCAGATGAATTGGCTCTTTCACTGGAACCCATTTACCAACTTGACTGGCTTAAATTTCAGAAATATGTTAGATGAATAAAGAGGAAGCTTAAAAAATAAATTTGTGAAATGTGAAGCGAAACTAGATAACATCATATGCATCTACAGTCTTATTGAGAGCATGCTGACAAAATATTAACATACACTGGTAACCAATTGGTATAGAAGTGCATGGTCACTAACCTACAGAGATTAATAGATACCTGAAAGATGACCATTCACAAAAATTCGAACCACGTCACGTGCTTTGTCAATCGTAAGCAACGGATAAATGCCCTTTTCCTCCCAAAATGTAATATCTTCATCAGTTATATTTATTCTGAAACAAATGATAGTCATGTTAAGAGTAACAGAGATTATAATCACATATAATGAACAAAATGTACCACTTATTAAATTTTCATTTCTAATAAAATCTTCTGTGAACTGCAAAACATGACAAGGCTAGTAGTTCCAACTTTGATATATATTTTATTTAAATTTTAAATAAAACATGAATATAACTAAGGTCAAAAATCCTTACAATTCTCGAGGCACAGTTAGGCTATCAAGAAGCCGCACCAACTACCAAATAAAATTTTGTTTTAGAGACATAAGGGAGACTCAAAAACCTATGTTGCAGAAAACATCATGAAGGAGATATTTCACCCTAACAATGTCAAAGCACGTCAATATCATGCTCCTCTTCAACATATGTATTAGTTTCAAGCATCACTAAATTATACCATTAAGAAGACTCCAGATTCATTTTCCACTTAAGATTTCAGGAAACACAAACTTGTAACTTTATTTCCACAGTCAATCTGCCGAATATTCCATCACCAGAAAAGGAAAAAAATTATAACAAGATACAGAAGTTTACCTACACCAATCATTGTCGTCTCAAACTCAAACTAGAATGCCAAAAAGTATAAGACCAGAAACTAGAAGGTGCTAACAGATTGTCTCACACGAGATTTTATATCTTGTCACCCATCAAATGAGTTGTATACTTGTATGTACAAACATTCATGGAATTTCTTTTTCACTAGTTCTTTATAAGCAAGCTCACATATAGTAGTCCAAAAGCTTCTGATCATGATCTACCTTGTAGAGTACCACAAATAATCAGAGATGTCCTTTGTAACATTTAAATGCTCTAATATGCCTTGATAGGTGAAGCTGTTATCGCCCCATGCACCAATTGGCTCATGAAAAGTCATCCATGTCTTCGAAATATAAGTATCTTTGTCATAAAGAATTATATCCCCAGTTCCAGTTGTGTTTGAAAAGCTAGGAGAAGCAGATTCAACTGTTTTGATTGAAGTTTGAGTAGCTACCTGATAAATATAATTCAATTTAGATAAAGTCAAAAGTACAAAGAAAAATAAATGGCAATATTCTTCCTTCGCACCTATTATGCAGCTTTTGGATCAGAAAGCAGCAAATTTTAGTAGTCTTATCACTTATGTGCATATAGCTGTATCAATTTTCATTTACAATATCTGGTCATTAAGTTACATATCCATGAGCCAGTCATTTAGGTAAAAGAGTACAAGTGTGAACCACATCCCTCTTTTATAAAGGTAAACAGATTGAAGAGAGCCCATCAGCATTATCTGATATATCACCATATTCTAATAAGAAAACTAATTTCATGATGAACTTTTATAAAAGAAATTTGGGCCTGATCTCCACCCTTAGTAACATCTTTTATAGCTTACATGTAATTGCCATCATCGCTGCCACATCCAATTTGAAATAGGAACTAACACAAGATGGCACAAGCCAAGCACATGCAATTGGTGTGATGGCATATGCTAGTCATCATAGGTATGATGTGGCATAGTGGAACATGCAATCCTTGTTCACCCAAGGTGAGCTAATTATGGAATGGCTTAATTTAGCCAAGAAGTTAAATCTTGGTCCAATCCCAATTTCAGTAATCTATCAGATTGATATGGAACCAATATACTAGTCGGTATGCTAACCTGTATGACCTATTCTCATTGAATAAAGTAATAAAAAAACATGAAAGATAATGTACCGATATCAAGCTATATGTTTTGATACTGACTCTAGGTTGAATCAGTACAATCAGGTTTGTACTAACTGGTATGATTGAGATTTGAAACCTTGAGTTTAGCATTACCCCATCACATGAGATTTATAAAAACAAGCATGCTAAATATCTTTCTTAAAAATCACGGTGAAAGTTAGAAAGGAGTTCTATGAAATCCCAAGTGTTACAATTTGCTTTTAGTATTAATTAGGTTTGTGGAGTATTGCTAGAAAATTAACTCCATACACAAGGAATCACTTTGATAAGCCAAAAATTTATGGATTTCACAAACATACTATTTCCGATGCATCAAACTGTGTTACCTAAGAGAGAATTTCATATTACATTTCCAATAATATTCCAAGTATATTTAATGTATTATACTCTTTATTCTTCAATTTATAATCTCCAAGTTCATTATCAAAGAAGGCTCCTAAAAGGCTTGATAATGGAATGGGCCAAGGTTCCACTTTTAGAAGTCCAAGCTTGGCATGCTACATTATGATAACCTGACCCAGTCTGCTTACTCTTATATGTACTAGGCCAAAATTCTTAGTATAAGAATAGCTCTCCTAGGTACACCTTTGGGCATCCTCCAATTCCAATGACATCGTGAACGAATAAGATCACATAAAGCTTAGACTTTAGCTGGAACTTCAGGGATATGAGTTGAGGTTGTTTCTGCACTGCCAATGTAAGCCTAAAGGACCATAAGAATAGTGTGGCCCAGCTGACTGGACCTTCTAACTCAAGGTCGTTACCAGCCCAACACCAAAATTTTTATTAAAGTTTAGTAAAACTCCATCCTAAATATCTGAAAGTTACTAGCTCATGCCTAGTGTTAAGCGCCATTTGAATAAATTCTGAAACTATCAAAAGTTACATGGTTACAAAGCATGATAGAAAGTAGAAACAATGCTTTTTGTACATTGTTTCTGCACTAATTCATCAATACTTTTTCATAATATTTTGGCAACTTCAGAGCACAATGCCAACTTTGGAAGATTCCATGAATAGAATATCTCTACTGCTGGTTATCAAAGTAACGTTTAGCATATCAAAACATGTGTTTTTAATCCATGTCTCAAAAGGGATCATTATAGCAATTATATGCACCCTATAAGCCCATAATGCCATGCAAATAATCGAAAGGAGCATGTATGGCAATGTCTAACGGAAACCACTGCCACATTCATTTGTTCCTTGTGTATCACTTTGCAACTATGTGCTTCCACATACAAGTAAACTTGCCACCAACTAAGGATCACACGGTTGCCCAAGAAATACCATATCAACTTTTGGGTTGGACCTCGAGAATCAAAATAATATATATTTTATTCACTATTAAAAGAACAAATGTATCAATCATGATGAACTTAGTATCAAATATTTGTTGAAATGCCACCATCAAAATGTCTTGTTCCTGAAATTACTGTGTTTTTCTCCCTTGATGTAAAAGATAAAAATGATAGAACTCTACTAAAGCAAAGGTTTATCGTTTAATCAAATCTCAAACAAACATCTTAGAACCTGGATATGGAAACCTAACCTTTGCAGTGTTAAAAACCACATGTTTGCAATCTGGCAAAATGCTTACAGACCAGGGTGGCAGAGAATAAGATCCACCAAAAATTTGCACAGTAACTGTTTTTCTTTCATCGATATTTGCAAGAAATGCTGAGCAAATGCTCACATTCTGTGGAAGACTGTTTCTTGTGTCTACAAAACCACTGGAATATATATGTGCCTGCAGTCATAAAATAGAACTTAAGCAAAAAGATCAACTAATTAGAGCATGATATCATGTTACCTACACCAACATTAAAACTCAGCACCTAGACTGCATATGTATACAACTTATACAATTTTAAGAACTCACTAACGAAAGTAATTATGCATTGCCCACATTGAAACAATTCAAAGACTAATCAACTCATTGCCTCAATGTCACTAACATGTGATGAATCCTATGGTTATGTAAAACGGGAAGAACTAGAAACATTTAATTTTAACTTTAAAGTATATACTAGCACTTCAAAGATTGTCTCCTTTTTCTTTAGGTTCCTTTTCACTTCTTCTTTGAGCAGTCTTGAAAACCTATTTAAGATTGTAGTAGACGATGTCATGTGGCAACTTATGAAACTTGCAAGAGACATCCTGATGGTATTGATGGTACAAAAGATACCAAACACTCCCACGTCATATGGCAATTTGCTACAAAAGATACCAAACATGGTATGATTTTGTGGTCATGATGGTATTGATCAACATTCAAGTGCGAAAATGGCTCTGTGGATTTGCAGGCATACATCCATACATCCAAACTTTTAAAAAGTAACATCATAAGTAATATAAACTATGATGTTGTGGAAATTAATCATCAAATTTTGTGTTTTACTACTATTTAACAATTAACAATATTCGATACTCATATCAAGAGGAACAACTTTGATGAAGTGTCAAGTGATTATATGTCCCCAAACGAAAAGAGTAAACATCAAAAACCTTTTTTTTTCCCGAGATGGAAGTCAACATGGTTTCTAAGGATGTTAACCTGTTACAACTTTGATGAAGTGTCAAGTGATTATATGTCACCAAATGAAAAGAGTAAACATCAAAAACCTTTTTATTTTCCTCAGATGGAAGTCAACATCTAAGGATAGTTTCACGTAAACATGAATTGAAATAAAACCATAATCTCTATATGTCAATTGGGCCTTTGCCTAGTAATTGGTTGCTTGGTTCCCCTCTTCATCTAGATGCAGTAATAGGTTCTAATCCTAGTGGATGTGGTGTCCAAGTATTTGACACGATTCTTTATATGGGAGTTTCACTCCATTATTTTCAAAAGGAAAAAATAGTCAATTAAGCAAAACTCTTTAACAATAAAGCAGTCTGTGGCGAGTAGCAGCATTTGAAGCATACTTCTTGCATTGAACCCAATTTTACATATTGTGGTGCATCATCAACGGCAACAAGAGCTGGTTCACAAAGCTTAATAGCTGCATGCAAATCCTTCAGATGTCCCCACTTAGGCTGAGCCAAAAGGCCTGATGAAGATGGCAGCTGTCAGGCAATGATAATTGTTCCCAAAATAGTTGGTGTTGTTCATCTCAGAAGACACAAGTAATATTTGAATTCAACATGGTGATAACTAAAGCTTGCCCACTAAGCAACTAACATACAAGCTGTGTTAAAGCCACAAGTTTCACATACCATATTCGTCAACCGGAGCATCATAATCATAACTAGTTGTTTGTAAGGGACCACCAGCTGTCCGACCAAAATTTGTTCCACCAAAAAACTGAAATCATTTGCAACATCTAATGGCATATTAGCATGAAGTGGATTACTAAAATGTGTACAGAATAGATGCTAGTCAATATTCATTTAAAAAATTTGTTATCACTTATACTGCTAAAATTTGTCTCAATAAGAATTAAGAACTTCAATGCAACTTGAATAATAAAAATAAATGTTGTGACATGTGAAACACATCTACTGATAAGGTCCACCTGTGTTAAAGGAAAGGTCATAGCATTTGATAAATGAAAGTGTTGACTGCTTCCGATAATGATAAGACAGCAAAAGTAACGATTTAGCAGCTCACTCTGTCCGCAGTTTTCAAAGTGTTAACTGTTTTAGCTGTTAGAAAGCAGATTAGCATCATATTAAGAATGCATAAGAACCAGCTCATAAGCAATGATTCAGCCATCATATATGAATACATTAGTTCTAAATACCGTATCATACCAGTATACCGATCAGCTGTTGGTACAGTATGTACCAAGCTGTACCAAGCTATACTGAACGTACCAACACACGATACACTAAGGTGTACCGATATACCACCCGTATCGGTCCTCTATCGGACTGATATGTACCGCCCGAACCAAGCGGTATGGTACGGTATTGCAAACCATGCATTAGATCCAATATGATGCTTATCTGCTTCTGAAGCATAGATTTTATAAAGATAAGACAGCAAAAGTAAAGATTTTAAGTTTGGATATTCATACTACCATGTAATAGTTGTGAAAGCTTCCCCCCCTTTGGAAAAAACGAGCAACAGCAAAAGCATTGTCTTCAACAGGTCTATGAGGCACCCTTCCACCCCAAGAAGCATACCTGAAGCATGCATAATTTTGAGTTTGCTCCAATGAACCATCGTATGTTTGGAACCAGGTATATAAAAAAAAAAGGCAAAAATACATGTATTTATTTTCATGCATCCAACAGAATAGCAGCCTAAAAGTTTTGCCTGGGACTACTCGCTGCAGAAAAACAAGGGTAGGATTGATTTATACAAGAATGTAGAAATCAATTTAGAATTCAGTAGAAGTATGTTCCAAGAGAGAATTCATATTACTAGTATATGTCAAATAATACAAGCTTATAATGACCAATAAACTGGCACAAATATGTTATATTATATGCATTAGATAAACTAATTAACAAGAAGCAGGATAAGCTAATGAATATCAGTAATGGCAATGGATATATTCCAGAACCTCTTATATTTTGGTTAAGCATAAAGCCATTTGATATTAGGAAGCAAGACAGGCAAGTTACTGGTAAAGTATACCAGTAAAATAACTTATAACATCACAATCAAAAAATACAAAAGCAGTGATTAGTTGCAACAGAGTGACAGCAATAAGCACCTTGATTAGTTCACGAAAGAATGACAAGGATAACCACTACAATTATTTCGCAAAAGAATGACAATGATAGCCCCCAAAAGAACGACAAGATAACCACCACAATTAGTTCGCAAAAGAATGACAACAATACGCACTACAATTAGCTGAAAATAGAATGACAATGGTCAGCACCATCATACCATCCATTCCAGTCCTCAGTCCAAAGAGCTGGCTTCCTGTAAGAGTTTGGCCTAAAACCATCGCAATAAAATGCATTGCAGGAATCGATCTGCCATATAAAATCAAAATTAAGCGAAGATGAAGAATCTAATCAAGAATCATTTCTTGACAAGTTATGGAACTCAATGTATGGAATTTTACAAAGAATTGTAAATGTTAGTTGGCTCAGTTCATTCAATGCTACCAACTAGATTACAAAGTAGCAAAAAGGATAGAAGTTAATGGTTTTAGTGAATATTCTTACAATAGTTTCAGGAGCATCACTTTGCCTGCACATAACCCATGGTATGCCAGCATCAAGGGTAAGTGCCATGTCAGCAGCCCATTTAACATACTCTTTGCCACCTTGACCATACTGCCCTTCAATATTTCCATATTCATTCTCAATCTGTTGAATTTTATTGTATGTCAATTGAAGTATTTCAAAATTCAAATATATTTGCAACCAACAAGATGTTAGCAAGCTCCTGTAGCACAAAGTCTACAAACCTAGCAATCAATTTAACAATAGGAATTAATTCCTTACAAGAACACACGCTAGAGATAAGCATGCATCATCGATTTTTCATAAGTTTCTTCAGGCAGACTTATAATGCGAAAATCGAGACTGCGATTATTCTTACATCAAAATAAACAATAGAAACTCTAGAATCAGGATGACTTCCAAGGTGATGAAGCCATATAGCCCACATACATCAGCTACAAGGCATTGTTTTGCTGCTAGTTAGGTTCGCAGCTTTATCTTTTTAAAGTAATAATGGGAAAAGTTGGACTTAAAATTTTGTTGTTGTCGTTGTTGTAATTGGAAAAGTTCAAGAACTAAGATGATAGTATCAAGGTTTGTCATTTTTGGTACCGGACCCGTCTCGGAGATCTATCGAATTGGTACATACTGGTCAGTACCGATGTACCGACACATGGTACGTCGATGTATACCGATGTTTTGGAGAGAAAGAAAAAGAGGGAGAAGAGGAACACAAGAGAAGGAGGAAGGAAGAAGAGGAAGCGGAGGAGGAAGAAGGAAGACGAAGTAAGGAGAGGAGGAGGAGAAGCAACAGCAACAGTGTACTTGGGAAGCAACGGCAAAGCAGCAGTAGTAAGGGCAGCAGCATCGTCTACGAGAAGAGGGCTCACTAATTTTTTTTTTTTCTTCTTTTAACACTGAGTCAGATAGGGCCCCACCACTATTCTACTTTTTTATTATTTTAATCAGACTATCTGAAATGAGGATGGTCCGTGTATCGGTCCATGCTCAAACCGGTACATACCACTCATACCATACCGTTTCGGATGGTACTGTAGTCCTTGTTTGGTATTGCATCCGTTCAGAGGTCAGAAGTTTTTATATGTAGGAAGTAGAATCATTTGTACTCCTCTCACTCCCAATGAAAAAGAAATTGCCCATTCAAATTTTCAGAAAAAAGTAGGTATTTGGAATAATTTTAGACATAAGAGCACAAGGTAAGCAAATTAAAGATTATAGCCATTATATCATCCCATTCTGCAGACTTTGTTAAATGATAATTATGTGAGTTCTATATATCTATCTTTTAGTTTAGAAAGCAAAGATCACGAGTAATAAACTAGTTCAACCTAGTTACAAGCCAATTATGGAAATATGAAGTCTATTGTTTCTTTGAAATCTTGATGTTTTGCTTTATCATACAGTAGTATTGGCATAAATGAGAGCCAACCAGTGGAACTAGTAGCTCAAGGCTCGTTGTATGTAAAAGGAATAACAAGAGTGTTATTTCAAATCTTCTAAACAAAAGACTGAATATCAAGGATGGAGTTCACACATTCTCATACAACCTGCAATAAGATGATTGGACCACCTTGCCATGAGAAAAGATTTTCCTGTTTCATCATATCAACAATCTTCTTGACAAATTTCTGCATCTCATCCTGCACAAGTTGAGAACCTTATCAATATATGTACTACAGAACAGGCAAGTAGAAGTCCCAATGTGCCAAGAATCATATCATGTTTATCAAATATAAAAGATAACTTGAGCCAATTTTATCTCTTCTTTCCTTTGGAATTGAGACACGGACATTATGTTTTCGCATCAGACTATTACTACATGGTATAATCCATGACATGTAGTAAAATTGTATAAAATATTACCATCAGACTATTACCACGATCCAACACTTGGAAAAATATTATATAAAATATTTGAAGTGTCTGAGTGATCAGTATAATGCATGCCATTACAACGTTGCACTAATACATCAGTCAGTATAATCAATATGGATTGACATTTAAATCTGGTTTATGGTTCAAGCAAAGCATGACAGGCTTCAATTCTGCTTCTTCATAAGTTGAAAAAACATGGTATTTTGTATGTGGTCAATCCAGAGTTCTAGTTCAGCATCACCTTGACAAAAGTAATGTTGAAGAAATCAAGAGTATACATGAGAAAATCTACAAATATGAAAACGAAGAGAAAATTTGCAGTTTAGTCAAATTTCATAATGATTTGACAGAACAAAGCTGTTGTCAATTCCAGATACTTCAACACATAACTTAAAACATTAGAACCAAAAAGATCATGAGGATCACCAAAAGCACCAGAAGAGTGTAAAGTCAAACCAGTAATTGAAAAGTATAATACCACAAGATAGTCAAGAATTCCTATTGGCTAAAAACTATCAAGACTGTTATTTGTCTAGGCATCATTTTTTCTTCAGGAACAAAGATCAGCTGTGACTCTCTCCCATTTGTGTAAATTATTACCGGTCATGACACTGCACATTACCAATTTATCGTATGGTGCAACATGCAATAGATAATTACAATGAGAAATCATTAAATGTGTAACACTAAAGCATGATAGGGATGCATGACATGCCACAGTATGGTAAAAATCATGATACCTCAAATGGTTTATTTTTTGTTCGAAATACAATGCCAGGAATGTCACGTAACCAAACAGGGAAACCTCTGGAAGAAAGAATAAGTACAAATGAGATTAGCAACAACATCATAAGGATATTCATGATAACAACACATATGTTGATTCATACACAGTGGGAATTAAGAATTAACCAGATAACAATATTCAAGCTGTGATTATCCCTGCCAGAGTTACAATTGTTGTGGGACTTGAGCATCGAAAAGAATGAAGGACCAGACTGATACCATAAAATGTGCAAACATGTAAAAAGCAAAAATTATAACTCAGATAATGTCCCAGAATTGCATCAAGTTAAAAGTACCTGACTCACATTAACAAAAGATAATTCAACAATATAATTTGTGCTCTCTCCTGCTATAACTATATATGGGCACTGAAAAAGATGAGCATATTTTAGCAAAGTCTTCAGTTGCTACCATCCCCATCTCTCAATCATAGTCATAGTTCTCATCACTTCATGTATCAGTACTTGTTGTATGAGCCACAAGACAGGCTGAATTTTAGTCTTCCATATTTAACCACCAAATCCATACTAAACCGTATCAAATTTTGTAAAGATACATTTAGTTGCAAGATGATGGCTTCAGGAGCAACATCCTGATATGACATATCAAATGAAAACCTTTAGAGAAGACAAAAATAGCCAAGAAATAGGGATGAATAAAAACACAAAAAAAAAAACTTCAGCTAGCAGCTATGGTGCTTTTTGGGCCCTTATGATTACATCACTTCCCCATATGTTCAGCTTCATGAAGTGATCCTTCAATTTCAACTGAATCGGCTGCATAGTTTGCTTCAATCTTTGCTGACTTTTCATGTTCAAAGTTCAGGGAAAAACACTATCCTCATAAACTTAAGTCCTATTGTCCACCTTACTGCACTTTTTTTCCAAAATATGTGTGGACAATATGCTTAAAAACTGTAACAATTGTTTTGGTATCTCATTACTTATATTGTTATTTGTCTGTGTTTAAAGGTGTTTGAAACCTAAAACATGGTATTACTGCCACTTTGTGATGCTGACACACAATATCAAACACCATAATTCAATTTGTACCAATTCTTGAGACAAGTGAAAGCTTGTCTTCAGCAGGCTTTTCTGCTAAAATCCTAATTTTACGACAGGTGGTTCACTACTTCACTCTACTTTTGAACTGTTCTTCAAGAAGGCAGATCCAAACTACTAAGTCAAGAATAAATTGGTCACCCTACCTTTGAACTGTCTTTCAAAATAAACACTGCCATAAGGCAGATCCTAACTACTCAGTAAAGAAAAAAGTTAAAAATGCCACCTACAGATGAAATGCAATCACCAAAATCTGGCCCAACTTTGATATATTTAGTATGTACACATGCAAGCCCCTGTAAGTGGTCAGCCACCAAAACAGATTTATAAATGGAAGCATGCAACTTCAGCATCTTGCTGATAAAAAATGATGAATTAAATGATCAAGGAAAAATCCAACAGATAAGGATATTTCACAAGTAATTTAACAGCTGTCCATCTAAGCTAGTTAATAGGTTATGACCTACCTGTTAAGAAAATTAATACAAGATTTAAATTTATCAAACTAGTGTAACAATAAAACAAGGCTAACCTTTGCGTCAAATGTTAGCTTAGAAGTTAAAGATGTCAAACTAACAGAAAAAATAGTGTCACTAGCAGGTTAAACATGCTGTAATGGAATCCCAATCTGACCACACTTGTCAATTGTGATATAAGCATTGTCTCATTTAGCCTATCTGATATATGGTTTTAGTTTGAATTTGAAAACAGTCGATTTTCAATTTTTCAGGTCTGTTGGTGCTTCTGTGGTAGTAGCTAATTTGAAAGTGAACTCATTTTAACCTTCGTGATCCACTCCAATATTAAGCCACCAATGACTGAAAAAATTATATATAAATGCATAGTTCATAGTTGCAATAAACAACTAGGTGAGGCAAGTAGTGAAGTAACTCCTTTACTTAAAAAGTGAACATTAATATCCATAAAAAGAATTTGAACCTCAAGATGAAAATTTTAATAGAATAAGCATTGATCATAAAAGTATACAGTTCCTAAAAGAATGAAGCAGTGTGAAAGAGAAAGGAGAGACCCAAAATTCCACTCGGCACAAACGTAAGGGCCAATACGAAGATGAAGATAAAGTCCTTGAGAACCAATCAACTTTGCAAACTTCACTATATCATATCTTCCTTCAAAATTATACTGGAAAGGAAACATCAGAAGTGAGATGACCAGCTGAGGTCATTATGCAATAAAGGCAATTAAACCTGCAATGGCAAAATATTTGTGCACAATACCTGACCTCTGATTGGTTCATGCCCATTCCAAAATACATACGTTTGTATCACATCGGCACCGCCTTCCTTGCTTTTGGCTATCAGACCAGGCCACATCTGACAGTATATAATCTATAAGATTCCTATATAAAATATGGGAAACTGAACAACTCAAAGGTTCACCAACCTGCTCCTGGAAATTGCGCTAAGAGAAACCAAGAAAGGAAAGATTCTAGTACAGGAAAGGAACTAAGTTGAATGCACATATTGCCTACCAATAAATTTGGTTTGATGACAGTACAGGCGTATCTCCTTCTTAATGAAAATGGAGATAGCATAACAAGAAGATTTAAGTTTAAATAAATCCAACAATTAAGCCCCTGTTCTGATCTGCTTTGTCAACACGACAATCAACCAACCCCAAATAGTGTATGGTCACTTGAAAGAATCTTACTGGTTAAGAAGCAAGATAGATCATTTCCCTAGATAATATTTTAGAAAATTTTTTTTCTTACCATCTCAATGTCTCAATAAGAGGGGGCAAAATAAAATGTGGTTTGTCTAAGGAGTTAGTTTGATGAAAGTACTAAAAGAGAAAATGAAAGAACCGCACGATGTCACCATCAAGAAACATGCTTCCAATGAGTTGTTTTGGATTTAAGATTCGACCTAGATCTTGATGGAGCTCTCCAATCAAGTATGGTAGGTGATCCATGTCACCTAATACATCATGATCTACCACTTCTAAACCTAAAGTAACTTCTCTGGCATTGAAGTACAAACGGTAAGTTGTCCTGGTGCAAGTCCAATATATTACTTGTATATCTATTTTTATTCTAAAGAAAAATGATAAAATAAATATAATTGGACGTAGAACCTAAATTACATACAAGATTGCATATAATCAAATTATCCAAGGCAAAATTTATTTTCTTAACAATTATCTTCCAACATCTACCCCATAAGCTACAGCATGATCGGGTTCCATAGCCGTCGCGCACAGGACACAATGAAAGACATTCATCGAGTCACTGACCCGAGATCCTCCTAAAAGGGAATACCCAAATTAAACTGAGAACAATTCCAATGAAGAGTCACGGGTCATACATCGGGCGTCGCTCGGGGGTAATGGATCCCAGCCGATATGAGCATCCGGCGCTTACCGCCGATGATGATCGCCCGGTGGTCATAGCTGACGTTGAAGGGCTCGAAGAAGGCGGCCGACGCCCCCGCCCAAAGCACTGCCACCGCAAGAGCGACGATGACCCCATGAATGGTCGCTAACCCTAACATCTCTCCGTCGCGGAAACGATCGGAAGCGGGAGATGTTTATTGAGAATGGGTGGAGCGGAGGAGCGCTTTAACCACTGGCAGTATGATTTGTGGCGGCAATTAGGTGAATAAAGATATCACGTTGCGTATCGAAGTTAGCATGGTGACGATAATTCAGTAAATAAAGACGGCACATTGGGTATTATAGTAAGTGACGAGGCAGATGTGGATAAAGCTGCCAGAGGACGCAACGCTCGCAACTCGAAACTTGTCCCAAAAATTTTACGAGTTAGGACACGAAGGACAATAGGGGCTGGCCCACAACAAGAATCGCACGGTGCTCGATGTGCGCCACGTCTTCTTCATGACTTGTGTCGTATTGTTGTGCGGCAAATCATTGTCGAGAGCCATAAGCGTGTAACCACTCTATGACTGTAGGTGGTAACTCGGTAAATAAACTTACGACGTCGCGTGTCACGGTAAGCATCGTGGTGGTGATTAAGTAAATAAAGCTTATACTTCGGGCGTTAGATCAAGTGAACGAGGCAGTTTTGGAGAACCCTTCAATGCAACGCCAGTTTCCAAAGTCCGAACTCAACTTAGTTGGAATTACCTAAGACGTGAGGTACCCTTGCGGCCAAGACGCAAACTTAGCTTGCGTTGCCTAAGTCGTGATTCGCCCTTGCGATATTGCTCCATAAAGATTAGCCTACTTGCGACCTCTCGCAGGTCCCGAAGGACCTGTAAAAGAGAAAGTTGATTAGTTCGAAAGAACGAGCGACGGACAAGTCCCGACGTCTCGCGAAAAGAGGGGAAGCTTTACAAGAAATTCAGCGAGCACCTTGCGTGCACAAGAGAAAAGAGGGAGAGGGGGAAAACAAGGGCTTTAGAAGGTTGAACGAACAGCTGCAAGCCCACAAACAGCTGCTCACCGAGTCCCGGGCGCGACAACAAGTTTCCGTCAAGACAACGTGCGAACTTGCAAAGGAGTGTTTAACGCTCGGTACTATACCGAAGCCCCATCCAGCTCTGTGCCACCCGGGGGGTTCCAAGGGGCTGAGATGGCTGACATTTTGGTGAGCCAAGGAAGATTCCAGAAATAAGCCCGCGACACGAAAACGAAGCTGTTTTGGGCTATTTTTGAGGTTGTTTTGCTCGGTTCGGTGAGCGATCGTTTTGTAACGCTGCAGCTTGTTGGAACTAACATTTTTACAAGCAAAATGACCCAAAACC